AACCACTACCATATGAACCATAGCTGGGTCGCTGATAAGCCGCATAAGGATTGTAGCCCCCATACAGGGGATAATATGGTCGTGGACGGTAAGCGTAGGGAGCGTAACCGCCAAATAAGCCAGGGTAGCCGCCAAAAAGCGGATATCCACCATAACCGCCATAGCCACCACCATAACTGCCATAGCCGCCACCATAACCGCCATAACCACCACCGTAGGTCGGATCAGACTGCAATCCTCCACCAGCAAGGCCGCCGAGAGCGCCGAGGCCACCAAGTCCTATTGGGCGCCTACGAGTTAAACCACCTAAGATTGGGCTAATTAATCCTAAAGTTCTTCCTTGCGGCGAATCATTGCTTGTTGCAGTTTGGCTGCGACGCGATGTCGACTGTGAAGTAACAAATGTGAGGAAGGAAGCCACCATAAAGGCTATGTAGAAAAGATGCATTTTTTAATTAGTTGTGGATTTTTTAAATAATCCTATTTTGTATATATGTACGCAACACACTCAGTCTTTATCGATTCAATAATGTTTCCAAAATATACATAAGTATTTTTTTAAATTCACTATTTTTTACACAATTTTCGAAAAAACGCACATTTTTCGCAATTAATTTTGTTACCTCACGCCGCGATGGTTACTTTGAAACTAAAGTTAGAAACGCGGTGGCACTTGCATTTTTAACAAAAATAAATAAAAAGTTATAAAACCTTCGAATAATGCCAAAGTATATCGCATCTATAAATATTTGTCTGTGAATTTCCGTTTGGTCATAAATGTTAGAAATTTCCATAATTGCAAGTTGCAGGCCTTCACGCTGTTTGAGAAAATCTGTTTTTGTTTTTTTTTGTTGGCAAAAAGAATAATACAGTAACCGTTAAAGAATAAAAAAACCAAGGTGTGGTAAAAATAGAAGCGGTGTACACAAAATCCATTCAAGCCACTTTTAGTTGGCGTCCATATCATCAGTTGGTCGTTAACTACGTCACCAACAAGTTTCATAGCCGGCAGCCAATTTAGTCAACTGATCTGCCACTCGCGGCATCAACACGAGATTTTTTGTGTGTATGTATGCACCCTGCAGCAAATGCAACAGGGTCAGAACAAGCGTCGAGCTGAATTAAAAGAGGATGATACTGCTTCTCGATCGATATATACCCGCGATGGGCAGAAAGAGCTTTTACTCTGCTCGCGCCTATATAAAATGTATACAAAGCTTAAGAGAGCTTTTCCCGCGTGTGTGCAGATTGCCTACAAAAAAGTCAATTGCTGCCCTTCGTCGAACTTTTGGGAGTAATTTTATCTATGTTGTTTCATTTTTATAATCAATTTTTTGTATAAATTTATTTTTTTATTCATTGCAGCTTTCTAAGTTAAACTAACAAATAATTTTTTGGTTCTTAAGGTATTAGGAATAAAGGAAGCCATTGTAGCAGTACATAATTCTAAGTTTTCTGCTTCGCTGTAAAAGTTGACATTTGTTTGCACTTGGAAATCAAATTTGTTTGAGAAAATAAAGAATAACAGGGCAATCCGAGCCACTGTCTATATAAAAAGTAAAAAAAAAAAATAAAAATCAATAAATTAAAGAAAACTATATTATAAAAAGAAAAAAATTCAATCAGAGCAGATGGAAAAAGTACTTAAAATTTCAATAAGATTAAAAATATTTTTATTAAAAAAAAAAACAATTAAACAACTAAATAAAATCCTATGAATTTAGTTGATTAAAAAAAAATATTTAAAAAAAAATAAAGTATAAAAACTAAAAGTGAAATTAATTCTTCAACATTTTTTGAAAAACGAATTAAATAAAAAAAAACGAAATATTAAAAAATAAATAAAACTAATTTCTACAGGGTAAATGAAATTAAAACAAGTAAGAAAGTCTAAGTTCGGGCGGAGCCGAACATTAAATACCCGGCGCAAATATTAAATATATATATTTTTCATCTGTCCGAAAGCTACCGCTACATGGTAAGCAGGGGTGTATCAATTTTGAGTAAATTAGCGCCCTTAAAATTCGAAATATTGAAGTTTGAAGCATTGCTAAAATTTACCGTTATATGAAAAGCCGTAATTTTAGTCCGATTTCAATAATTTTGAACGTTTTGCTTTTACGTGGCAAGCACAATAACCATACCGAGTTTGGTACAAATTCGTAGAACGGCTACCGAGATACATATATGTGATCATAAGTGGGCGGTGTCACGCCCATTTTCCAAAATTTTACCATAAACGTATTTTTTGGTAAAGAGTTGTTGCAAGCATCAATTTTGAATAAATTAGCTTTAATATTTACTGATTTATCGAAGATTTCGTGTTTCTCTAAATTACTGTTATATGGGATGTGGGCGTGGTTATTGTCCCATTTTGCCCATTTTCAATACCATCCGTCCTACGCCTGAAAGAAGTGCACGTACCAAGTTTCGTTAAGATATCTCAATTTTTACTCGAGTTATCGTGTGTACGGACGGACGGACGGATGGACAGACAGTCACCGCTTAATCGATTTCTCCTTTCATTCTGATCATTTATGTATACGTTTGTCTATATCTAGCTCGCTTCGTTTTGCCTGTTATAAACAACCGTTATGTGAACAAAGTTATAATACCCTTGTGCACAAGTGCGCTCGGGTATAAAAAGGTTAATATAACTAAAAACCTGAAAAACATATTTTAGAAAGAAAAAATAAAAAAGGTCCTTAAAATTAAGTGAAATTAAAAAATATTCTTTCTAAAATAATAACGAGCAAACCATTACAGAAATTTTAATTAAAAAATAATAAAAATACATAAAAAAAGTTTCTAAAAATTAAATTAAATTTCAAAATATATGCATCCTTTTTAAAAATAAAAAAAATCGGAAAAATAAAATTAAAAAAATTAATGTAGGTTAAAAAAGAGAAACTCGGCCAAACACTAACATATGTGTAAGAGCCAACCTATTATTATTATTATTATTAAAAAAGAGAAAAGAATCAGCTGCGCCAGGACTCGAACTCGGTTCTCTCGAGTAGGACGCCTGTGCTGTATCCACTTGGCCATTGCGACTGTTGGATGACGCGAGCCAAATATTATACAAGTTCTTTCAACTGAATGAGAGAGCTTTGTTTAAGACTTTTGTGCTAGAATAACAAAATTCATTCAAACTACCTTGCCATCTATCTTTCATTTTACTTTCTTAGCCAGAATTTCCCTGTAAATTGGTATTCTATGCTGAAAATTAAATCTTTCCATTTAATCATTAAATAGTTTCCATGTAATAAAAAAATTACGTAAAACACATTTAATCGCATGTCGCACGTTTGTTCGGTTAATCAAGGTCTGGTTCAGATGGTCATTTTTATTAGGTTTCTGGTTTCGGTCTGACACGACAAAGGGGTTTTAGAGCCAATTAAAATGAAAGAAGTTAGCACCAACCACAGATAATAATAATAATAGTTGGCCGAGCTTCTTCTCCAATTTGTGGTGTACATACGTCTTGACGTTGTTACACAAATGGACGGACCTACAGTTTTACGCTGCCTCCGAACGACAAGTGAATTTTATGAGTAGCCTTTTCACTCAGCAGTTTTTACAGTTAAATTTACTAAATATCAGAAATAGAAGAGCAAATGTAGTGGCTACTAAAAATTGAATTTTCATAAAGAATAGATCATATCACATTATTTTACGAAATCCCCATCTCCATTGATAGTGAACATCTGTCAGACTATGTCCAATACCAGTTCAGTGCTAGGAGATTTTTCTACCGGGTAGTGTAGATTTTCAATATTTTTCATTGTGCACATATGTACATATACATATAACTTTACTGCTGACATTGACATTGGTGTATACGACAATGCAGCGGTTAATCTAACATATTAATATATATTGTACATATGTATGTATGTAGCTTTGACTGAAATTTTCGAAATCATCTTCATTGTTTTGATTCGCTTTAGTTTTGTATCTAAGTATATACGTAGTATTAATATTTATTGAATTTTGTGTTTTTTTTTAGTTTCTGTTCACTTCCGTGGTTTGCTAAATTTGCCGCTTCGTGGTGTTAGCACGTGGGTTTGGGGTTTTCGCAAAATATATGTTTACATACATACATATTTTTTTAATGAAAATTGCCAAATGCTTCTTAACAGTTTTGGTTGTCGCTGTCGATTTCCACATTATGGATGCAAAAACAAGTCTGCCATATACATATCTCACTGATCTTGGTTAGGTTATTGACTCTAGAAATGTTTGTAAAACAAAATAAGTAATATTAATTAACAGCTCTAGAGTTTTTGATTAATTCGTGTGTTTTAAAAGTTGACAAATTTCAAAGATTATCTTTTTTCGGTGCTGTATACAAATTATTTTACCACTGTGTATGCAATATGTAAAGCTAGTTCTCAATTAGTAAAAGGTTACTCATCTTTGTTTATTTTGCTTGAAAAAGTGGATGCTATATTTGTATTCCATTTAATGCAATAAATATGTATTAAAATTTGTACATGAACATATGTGTAACTGTCTTCAAGGAAAATCTTCTATATCCATAAGTATACAAAAATGTTGTGTTCGTTTGTACGAGGCCTCAAAACTCGAGAATGGCTGAATCGATTTGAAAAGTTTTTTTTTACTTGTCCGATATAATACCAAGATCATTCAAACACCAGAATTTGGAGAGTTTCCACCTGTTTGAAAATTGTTAAATCAATTAAATTGATAAAATAAGTGGATTATAACAATATGCATGTCAAATTTGAGAGGTTTAAGTAAAATTACTGTTGGATATATTTTTAGGAGGGTTGCCACCTATTTGAAATTTTTAACTCAGTTATATTGATAATTAAATTAAGTTTTGATATTGGGGTATCAAACTAAAGACTTACAGTCGAAAATATTTTTAACTCAATTTAATTGATAAAATAAGTGATATATTAAAATGTGCGTACCAACTTTAAGAGGTTTAAGTAAGATTACTGGTGGAAATATTTTTGGCAGGGTTGCCAACTAATTGAAAATTTAAACTCAGTTAAATTGATAAAATAAATGAAATATTGCAAAGTGGGTGTCAAACTAAAGAGTTTTAAGAAGTTTTGTAGTTGAAAATATTTTCAAGGAGGGTTGCCAACTGTTTGAAAATTTAACTTGTTAAAATTTATAAAATAAACTAAACATTATATGGACACCAAACGAAAGGTATCACCAAACGAAAAGTGTTTGGGAAAGCTTTACTACATAGAAAATGTGTTGAATTGTTTCCATCTATCCAAAAGCCGAACAATTTAAATAAAGAAAGAATGTGCAACATGTGAAAAAAATTTATTTAAAAACTACTCATATAAAAGTAAAAACAAAATCAGTCGTAATGAAAACAATGAAATATCACTTGAAAGCTGTTTCAAAAATCCCTAATGAAAACTATAAATTTTTTTC